GAGACAAAGTTCAACATGCTCCATTTTCAAAATATGTGTAGGAGAAAGGAAACTGCTTAATAAAATAGGACAGATAAGTAGAGTAGGAATAGGAGTAGGAACGCTGATGATGGTTAGTAGTCAGCGAAACGGCAGCAATTTACACTGAGTGCGACCACATGGCTTCCATCGTTTGAACGACCGGTGGTTTAGGGAGACATCTGGGTTCCCGGATGACACGAGGCAGAGAAGAATAGTTTCAAGAGGATATCCTAAATTCCCGATGTTTCTTTCTCGGAATCATGGGGAAAGTTGCTCGGGAAAGATGAGGAGAATAAAAGGTTGATAGAATCAGTGTTAACGTAAATGTGCAGTTGTCACCTGGAAGTAAACAATTGTGTTAACGACCTAATTTCAATTGGCAAGTTATTCCAATAAAAGCTCTATCTGGAAGCAAAGCAACAAAGAGCGTTTAGATAAGGAGGATGCAGGAGGAGGTGTAACAATCGCAAAGTTTCTTAGGTTGTTGGGACGGCGGACGGGGGTATTAGCAGAAAGCTTGGGGAGCTTTGTACTATTAAGGCAAAAAAGGGCTGCTTCCAAACTTCTGACCCAGAGAAATCTTAATTTCTTTAATTGGCATGAATTTGAGTAAGGAGTATTGGAAAATGTCGGATGAAGTAGCTTTTTGTGAAATGTTTTTGGACGCTTTCAATTTTTGAACGGCTAAATTCGTTCATCGGACCAAAAAATGTGCAACAGTATTCTAAGATGCGAAACAAAAACATAAGATAAAGGCTTAATTTCATTTCATGAAAATGGAAATTATAAGAAATAAAGCTGCAAATCTGTGCAGACTTAGCCGTAGTTCTATCGGCGTGATACGAAGATCTAATTTATTGGTGTCGCTTCAAACCTAGGCCCTTGATGTTGGAACATTTGGCCATTGGACAACCTTGAAAAATAACATGTTGTGGTGCCCTTTCAGGCCCAATGCACGTGTTTCGGCACTAAGAAGGGGAGAACGCCATCTGCCATGCTGAGCTCCACGCAGAAAGAGCGTTCAAATCTGAAAGGATTTGTTCTAGGCATCTCGCGGCCGTAGAGTTAGAGAAGGAGTAAATACACTTGATCGTCCGCATTTGATATAAGATTGAGAGTGTTTAAAACTTAACTAAATATCATTTATGTGAAGCAAGAGCAACAGAGGACCTAGCATGGTACCTTGAGGGAGACCACTCAAAATTGCAGTAGCCGTAGAGTATGAGGATCCCACTAAGACCTTCCGTTTTCGATTAGATAGATATGATCTGATTTAGTTAGTAAAAGGACTACGAATTACTATAGATTCTAGTTTGGCTAGAAGCCGCCTATGAGGTACTTTATCGAATGCTTTACTAAGATCCAAAATAGATAGCTAACACAGATAAATGATTATTACGAAGATAAGTAAGTCTAGAAAAGACATGCGGCATGTTTTAGAAGATCGATCCGGTAAAGTCCATGCTGTGAGGAGCTAAGACTTCGATTGATTGTGCAACAATCTGTATTTTTTTTTGCAATCAATAATTCAGTGAGTTTAGCCAGAGAGGGCGTTTTATGAACCCGCGATAATTATGAATATCCGAGCTGGAACCAGATTTTAAAACGGGAATTATAATAGAAGTTTTCCAGTAGTCCGAGAAAAAAAACATTCTGAAGAAATACTAAAAATAATTTATTCAGTAAAGGTTGAAAATCTCTTAATCTTTTAATAAGTGAGTTTGGAATGTTATCGGTTTCAACCGAATGTGAACTTTTAAGACGACGTATTTCTTTTTGAATACAAGCGGGTGAGGAATCAATGTTAGTGAGATTTGAATCGCACGGCAGAAGGTTTACAGAAGTGGGGCTAGTTTCGATGGTAAAGAACTTGACGAAAAAGGAATTTAGCAAT